TCGATCCTATTAATTTCTTTATTTTGAGCCCATTATTAAATAGCAGCCCAATGAATAAGAGTCATGATCCAATTGATAAAGAGAGGAATGAATATAGTTAAGGAATCCATCCGTATGAATGGAAAATGGCTGTGAACCTTGTTAAAAAGGCTGTCCAGATATATCAAACAAGTGCTGATTTTTCTGGCTATTAAATGCAAGCAAATAGAGTCCAAAACCCATTTTATTTGAGGCCCAAGGGATATGGACGAATTTCCAAAACCCTAGAGCATATTTTCATCCCCTCCACATCTATAAATAGGGGTCTCAGTTGATAGAAAAACTCTCAAGAACTCCTGAAGGGCTCTGAACGATTTCGAAGAAGAGGAATAGATCAAGCCACAAATTTTATTAAGAATATACGAATAATCCTTCGTGATTTCGTCGATTCTTAATAAAATAAATCCAAAAGTTGAAGAATGTTCGAAGATCTGAAGAACGAAGCTTGAAGATTCGAAGATTAATACCGAATCAAAGATTCAATTGAAGATCGAGCCACATATCTCGGGAGGCTCTTAAACAGAAGATCAAGCCATAAAACGGTCCTTTTGTTGAAGATCAAGTCACTTGAAAACCGGAGACCCTTCAAGCTGAATTCTTAATTAAAGAATATTTGAAGATTCAAAGAACGAAGATTTGAAGATTCAAAGAACAAAACTTTGAAGGTTCGAATATTTGAAGAATTAAAGATTTAATTTTGAATTAATTTCTTTAATTATATTTATTTCAAATTGCAAGTGAAGAATCAAAGGATTCATATTTAGAGATTGTACTCAATATTCTCACATACTATTATTTGCGATCAATTTTAAGTAAATACTTAAAATTTGTTTCACACAGAGATTAAGAAAGTTGAAATGTATGATTATAGTTGTGTAAGAAAAATGTGAAATGAACGTGAATCATACAAATTGTCCAAAAATGGTAAGTGAGAAGAATTGTTTGGGACGACTCAAAAGGAAAGTGGGAAGAATTTCATGAACCCAGGAAGTAGAGCTTAGTGTGGAAAAATACATGCATGTAAGGGCGTATGCCTGTCTGTTTGTTCTAAAAAGTTGGATTGTTTCACCTAACAATCAACATTGATATTCAAAACCACTCCATCACCAAACATCAAATTACATACTCTTTTTTCTCATACTCTACATATATTTTACATCACATAACTCACACAATCACACATTTGTATTATTCCAAATGATATTCTTAACTACGGAGTACTATGTATTTTACATAATAAAATGTACACTATGAAATAGTACATTAGTACGTTCTAGTAATAAATAAAAGGAAAATTTGCGCACTAATCCATTACAGAGAATCCAAGTCCCGTCTCTAATCAATCCATTTTCCCATCAATTTTTTATTTTTATTTTTTTGAATTGTTGAATTCATTTTTGTTTCCACAAATGGCTTCCTTAGCGGAATCAATTTTTTCAGCCAATTTAGTAGCTACATCTGTCATGGCGCCACCTACACCGGGGTTTTCATCGGTGCGATAAAGATGTGTCACTTCCACCTTCCCTTCCCGGGGCGCCTCCTCTCGCCCCGGAGGTGACTCATACTTTGTGCTCTCCACCTTTGTCTCCACGGCACCTTCTTCATTTATGTACTCCCATTCCTAATTGAGCAAAGATAATAATCATGTATTCAATTCATGTTTTTAATTAGCAAAACAACATTAATGCATCATAAGTACTACAAATTTCAATATAAAATCATAAACTAAGTATCTTTATACCGAATACCTTGGAAGCATTCATAATTCAGTGCTACCTCTAAAGCTGAACGCTGGTTATCTTCTGGACACGGCCACAGGAGAAGGAATAAGCTAAGAGGCGCTTGTTAGGTAGTATTAAACATGCAACTGCTGAATATTTACTTATCATTTATATTTATAGCTATATATATAAAGAATATATACAAAATATATGTATGCGGTGGCTTTTTAGCTGTTGGCCACGAATAAAGGTGGTACTCTCCTACTGCCACGTCCGTTTCACATCTAAATTATCCTAAGTTCGTAACCCTCTTGATTTAGTATTCTCCTTAAATGGTGAAGTTTATAATTTTGTGATGTCCCAAAATAAATGTGTGAAATTATTCTTATTTCTTTTTTTTAAAAAAATTTGTGAAATTAACATTCATTTATTTTCTTATTACTCAATAGCAACCTTACAATTCTACTTTATTCTCACTTTCTTAAATTTGGATCTAACTCAAAACAGGAAGATTTTTATTGAACAGAGGGAGTAATAAAAGGAGAATATTATCCGAAATAGGATTAAAACAGTTTAAAAACTCCAAAATAAGACTGTCATGTTATTATTCCCAAAATAGGACTAATTAATACCATGTTTTGATAGTACCAGACTTCAAACATGGCATTATTTTCTAAACACGGCAGTAATTAGTCATATTTTTGGAATAAATATCATTATAGTCCTATTTTAGAATTTTCAAATTGTTTTAGTCCTATTTCGGGAACTTTCCCTAATAAAAGAGGATCTATACTTATCTATGAGTGTCTATGGGCCCATTTACTTAGGACTTAATGAGCTGAATGAAAAGAATGACTTATTCTCTCAGTCAATAAGTCGTGTTTACTTAGGACTTAATGAAAAACTTGACTTATTCGGTCAAACCAAATATGACTTAATGGTTCAGCCGAATAATTACACTCCTTAGCTAACAGACGCGTTATTGGCTTTTTTAACCCTAGCTCTTTTTACCTTCCTTCTTTCTACTCCTTAAACATCCAGAAATGCAAGATCAACCAGCAGCACTCCATCTTCATCGAATTAGGTGTTTTTTAGTCAAAACCATCTCCTAAGTTCACTTCCGACCTTGGAAATTGAGTTTGGAATGAGTTGTTACGGCTTAAAAATCCAAGAAATGAGCCGATTTCTCCTCCGCGGAACTGTTCACTAACGGACTGTTTTTTTATTCTGGTGTTGATTGGCTATGGCTATGAGAAATCTGAAAATACAGTGATGCTCGTCTTCCCTAGGAGAACAACATATTGAAATTTCAGATTTTTAGAGCTGTATTACGATCTGTCGCAACTGTTCATGGACAGATTATATTTTTAATTCTGGTGTTGATTGGCTGGGGCTATAAAAATCTAAAGATATAGGGATGATCGTCTTCCCTAGGAGAACAACATACTGAAATTTCAGAATTTTTCGAGCTGTTTTACAATCTGTCGCAACTGTTCATGGACGGACTGTATTTTTAATTCTGGTGTTGATTGGCTGGGGCTATGAAAAACCTAAAGATACAAGGATGATCTTCTTCCCTAGACGAACAATATACTAAATTTTCAGATTTTTTGGAGCTGTTTTGCTTTGAAACGCTACTGTTCATTCTTGGAGCTTTTTTGGAGTTGTTTTGGGCAAACCCGACCTGGTGGGAACCAGACCCATGCCTCTCTTTTCCTATTCGGATACCTTCGGGGAAGACTTTTAAATTATATTTCAGAACAAGCAATGTAAACAGATAATATACATTCAGAACAAGCAATGTAAACAGATAATATACATTCAACACTTTTAAATTATATTTCAGAACAAGCAATGTAAACAGATAATATACATTCAACACTTTCTAGATAGAAAGGTTATTTGGTCATTTAACATAATTCAGACTTCTCATTGAGCACACATAGTAAACAGCTCGTTATCTCAGTGTCACTTAATCCAGACAGACGTCTTGATTCAGACAGACGTCTTAATCCATTCAGGACTTAATGGGAAAAAAGTAAACAGCCTCTACCTGTATCAGTGGTGGAGACATGGAAGGACTAAAGAGGGTCTTCGTCCAAAGGGGTAGGGGAAATCCCCAGTTGCCCCCTCAATCCTACGGTCCTACCTAACCCGTATACAATCAATCCATAATTATATACTCGAGGGGATGCAATATTAGTTCGTTAACTTTCAACTTTTATTGTTATTAGTCCTCAAACTTTACTCGCTTATAAATTCACTCTAATAACTAAAAAATCTTTGTAATTCAATGATTTTTCACTGGAAATCACACTTTCTGGCAGAAATTCAAACGCCGACAACATCTTTTTCGGAATATTTTCGTTGAAAAGTGCACTTTCCAAGAAGGTCTTAAATCAAATTGCAAAGATTTACTTGTTTGGTGTATTATAACATACATGATATTGATTAAAAAGGATAATATGCAGAGCATACCTCTATAAAAGAGTATAAAAATGCGAGACATAAAACACCTTTTAGAGAAAAGGATCAGATAGGACCTCGAACTTACAAAAAAATGTCAAATAAGACCTTATATAGGAGGCACTGTTCGGCCGACGCCATTTGGGACGGTTCCCGGTGAAATTATAACTGCGCTTTTAAGTGCGCACTTATCTTCAAGAATTTATTTGAATGTCATCCCAATTGAGGTTTTAGCTAAAAATTGGTATGAGTAAACTAGACTTAATAAATAAGATGTTCAAAAAGTTGAAAAGTGTACTTTTGAAGAAGAAGGTCTTAAATCAAATTGCAAAAATTTACTTGTTTGGTGTATTATAACATACATGATATTGATTAAAAAAGATAATATGCAGAGCATGCCTCTATAAAAGAGTATAAAAAATGCGAGACATAAAACACCTTTTAATGTAATAGAAATATTTTCTAATGGTGTGCTTTTTGGATTTTCTTGTTGTAGATAAAAGGTAATCTTTAGACAACCAAAATTATTTTTTAAAAGATGAAAGATTTGAAAACCAAACCAAAATAAAATCCCAGTCATCCAGTCAAAGCAGAAATAATTATTCCGATCTCGAACCAAAATTGTTCTGATCCGGGCCTAATTCAGTACCGATCCAGTTTGGTAATTCTAATTCCGAACCTAAGTCAGTTAGGCCCAGTCTTGATGTTGGGCTCAGCCCTTTGCCCATAGGGCCAGCCATGAGTAAACAAAATGTCCGTAATCCGTAATTGGGGTATTGATTGCCTTAGACGTCTTGTATAGAATTACAATTACAATTACAATTGCAGTAAAACAGTTCAACGAAGAGAGGCGTTAACCTCCTTCATCCTAAAACAGACCTCCGGGAAAAAAAAGAAAAGAAAAAAAAAAAACAGAAAATACAGAGAGGAAACGGCAATGATGAATGTCGGTGGCGGAACAGCCAGCGACGATGGAGCCTCCGCCGTGTCGCGATGGAGCTTTACCCTCTGGAGGCAGTATCAACACATGCTAGACAAGTCGACGCCGCTAGTGCTCCGCCGCTGGATCATCTTTTCTATTGTTGTGCTCATCTATGCTTTGCGGGTGTACCTAGTCCAAGGATTCTACATCATCACCTACGCACTCGGTATCTACATCATCCAACTCCTCCTCGCCTTCCTTTCCCCGCAGGTTGATCCCGAGATCCACGAGCTTTCCGAAGGTCCTACCCTCCCCACCCGGGGCTCCGACGAGTTTCGCCCTTTCGTTCGACGCCTCCCTGAATTCAAGTTCTGGTTCGTGTGTTTTTATCCATAAACGCTATCTGAATTTTCAACCTTACGCTTGTCGAACTTATTGCTTGTAACTTAGCAAATCAACCAACATTTGTTTTGTCACCAAATACCCCGGATATATTTACAAGTATATCTTGGATGGAGAAGTTTAGTGTATGTGACCCGATCTGGGCGGTAGAATCGATTTCCAAGACTCTTGGATTCCTGAGTTTAAAAGTTTATGGTAACTGATGATTGAAAAACCCAAAGCTATGGGTTTGCATCACCATGGGGTCCTTAATCCCAACCATTTTGGGTTCGTTCTCTCAGATTTGAATTCGTAATTAATTGTATGATAAAATTATATAACACTATAAAGTACTGCGTATAAATTCATTCATAAAATTGTAGCAGGATGATGCCCCATCCCTGAGGGCCCCCAATCCCGACCGGACGGTAGTGGGAGGATGTAAGTTGTACTACAATCCCAATCTGACAGATAGAGACCCAATCCCCGGTACTTGCAGAGGCTCTATGCATTTTTTATAGCATAGTAACCTCTCATCGCAATTGTCTGGATTTGAATTCAGGACCTAACCCTTGTGACACTCCCTCGCTACCAATTGAGCTACGCCCACCGGTAAATTGTAGTTTTAAAGTTTTATAGTGGGTGCCCTCCTAATTTGGGAATAAACGGACGAGCATTTGTATGTGGTAGAAATATCATTTGAGCTGTCTTACAAAGGTTATTTGGAGTTATATTGTAAACTGTTATATGGAATTTAGGATTAAACACATGGATTGTTTATTTCTTTGACGAGAATTATGCCAATTTGCCACAAGGGTCCATAGGAAACAGTCGCTCAATGGTCTAATTATATACTACGGAGTATAATATACTATACTATCATGTGGTTTGTATAAGAATGTTTTTACTTGGACTGTAATTTGCTGGTCTGGTTTGATCTGGTCTGAACTGGTCTGGTCTGGTGTGGTTTCTTTGTATTTTTATAACTATCCAAGTCTGATCTGGTCTGGGACGAATTACAGTCCAAGTAAAAACATCCTAAGTCTGGTATGGTCAGTTTAAGTTGTAGTCTAGTTTGATTATGTATGGTCTAATATGGTTAGTGCCTTAGTGGTTAGTGACATAAATAAGTCCAATAGAATAATCTTAGAACATAATGACCATTCAACTTGTAATAAGAAATGGTGACTGTGATGCTTTGATTTGTGAAGGACAAAGCACAAAGGTCTCATTTTGTGTGTGTTGTTAGATTGTTACCCTATCTCCCACTAACCTCTAATACGAGTAAAGGATGATTGAAGTCATCCTTGTATTCACAATATTTACATTAATCATACAAAACCAATTAATTGTTTTTAATGATTTGATATGTGCTCGATTTTAGTTTGAGTGAATATCTTCACCGGTAGTGTTTGAAAATGTATGATTCTTCTAAAAATGGGGAAGGGAAATTTGATGGTTTTCTTTTCTACTTGGTTATGACAGGCATTCACTGACAAAGGCATTCTGTATTGCTTTTGTGTTGACATTCTTCAGTGCTTTTGATGTGCCTGTTTTTTGGCCAATTCTATTGTTCTATTGGATTGTGCTCTTTATCACGACGATGAAGAGGCAGATAATGCACATGGTGAAATACAAATATGTCCCCTTCACATTTGGAAAGCAGGTATTCCTTGAATTTATTGTATATCGATTTTCAAGGTGAGATTCGTGCTTTTGACTCTGGATCAAGTAATGACTTTAAAACATATTTGGTAAAGCTTTAAATGGCAAAGTTGTGGCTCACACAGTTGAATTAAGAAGATTAAAATATAAAGCAGCCGTGCGTTGAGCACAAAGCGAACTATTCTTTCGCCTTTTACTAAAGAATACCGTGTGCACGGCGCAATAAATGGCATACTCCTATTTTTGGAATGGTGCTTTCTTCTAGGAAGGCACCAAAAAAAAAGAAGATTAAAATATATCCTATTAAAAAAATGAATTATATATATGAAAAGAATTTCTAAATTGGTCATTTCAGCAACTTCAGCTTTAAAGAAGTACCTTTAGACATACATCTCATTGTTAACCCATTTGGCATGCCATCAATTAAATCAGTATTCAGTAAAAAAAGACTAACAAGTCTAATAAGGTGAAAAAAGGGCTGCTTAATGACCACTAAGGATATGTTGCTGTTTTGTCCAGCGTTACACAGGGAAGAAAGCAGCAGCCTCATCTGCGGATGCACTTTTGGTAGACTGAACCAAATAGTATGGTAGATTATGATTTTCATTGAGAAGCAGACAGGGTTAGATTATCTGGTCAAGTATTTGTTTTCCCTAGGGAAATAGCCACATGAGATGTACTCAATCTCTGGTTTAATATATCTCCTTTTTCTAATTCTCAATGGATGGGTAGTCAGTCTTGGTGTTACAACATCAAAGCTGCTCAACTCTCTTTGTTTTGTCATGTTTGATTGATTAATTTCATATTGCTCTGCCTTGTTGTTTATAGTGAGCAGTATTCTATTTATATTATGTATTGTACTCTTTGATTTTTGGACAAGGTATTCTGCCTTGAGGGTCTGCATTTGAACATGGGATGATAGGTTAATGGTTTGGATAACCTTTAAGTATGATTATATAATGGAATAATGGATGGATAAAAGTATTTCATTAATCAATCTATGATCCAATAAAAGTCTAATTCATCCCGTAATAATCTTCCATGCTTGGATATCCAGATTTAGTACATCAGCAACGGATTTGAGGGACCTAGATGTTTTTTAAAATGTAGTATTTCATTGACTTGAAAGAAGAGACATCATCATTCATGCTTGCAAGTTGCAAGCAGGTACTTTTGGTTGGGTTTTTCAAGCATGTATCACGAAGAGAAGATGCTTTTATGATGGGATTTTCAGAAATTGCCCGAGTTAGAATATTCAATAAATGAGTAGTTTTTTTTTTGGAAGAAGGTGGCTTATATTAATAAGAAAGAACGTAAGCAAGATACAATCAGACAAGAGCCCATTGTCTATCGTCCGCTCTTGAATCAGACTTAGAACCTGTACCTCTAAAGAAGCAACTAGATTCGTTGATCCTGAATTGGGCTTACCTGAGTCAATTCAGTTGAAAAGTACTTTAATTATGACATTAATATGTCTGATAATAATTTACTCACATTTAGGGAGATCCCATTCTTCTTATTCATACTCTTGGAAAATTTCCTTTTTTCTATAACTAGGCTAACACACTTAATCTATCTCACTCGGTTAATAATATATCTGATTGGTACTACTTATATACAGAGTAATTATTATTGTGGAATAGGGAGAATGACCGGTTTTTGTGTCAACAATGTCTCTATTTGCTGGTCTTGAAATAAAAACTAGCCTCTTGTTTGAATCTAGAGGTGAACATTAAAAATGAATATATAAAAATTGAATCGAAAAAAAATCAAATAATGACATTTTTCGGTGTGTTGGTTTTTCTCAAAATTGGCGGCACAGTTATGAAGCCACTAATAGAAATACATGTTTCACATATGACTCTAATTCTATAAAATGGTGGTCAGTTACCAAAAGCATATGCTCCACCACTAATATAATTTAATAATTTTAAATTTTGCTTTCAAACAAAATTGTGATTATGTGTAGTCAGTGTAGATAGTATTATTTGATAAAACATTAGAATAAAGTGTTTGAAATATATCTTCTTTTGGATACATTTTTATGTTAATTGATTGAAATTGAAAAGATAATTTTGTTAGAAGAAAAGTAATCTAATTACTATATGACATAATTACATATTTATAACGAGAATTTTACAAAAATTTAAATAAACTAATGTAGTAACTTGAGTTTTATAAATTTATATTCAATTTTTACATTTGAATCACAATTTTTACATTTGAATCACAATGACACTATTACATAAAATAAATTTATTTATAAAATATAACTAAAAGTTATTATAGTGTAGTGTTATAGTCACTTAAGTAAAAAATTACAAAGTTATATGAAAAAAGTTACTATGAGTATTATAATTAATACATTAAAGAGTTCACATTTTTCTTTACAACATTTATTTTATTCATAAATATGTAATTATTTCATAACCATTTCATCATCATTTTCATTTATCCTAGTACCGCAAAGGCTCCCACCTACGGTGGGGTAAGGGAGGTCGGATGTACGCAGTCTTACCCCTGTACTAAAGCACAGAGAGACTGTTTCCGGATGACCCATAGTGAAAATATCATCCAAAATTGCATGGACTGACTGCTGCTTCATAACAAAGAAGCGCAGACAGTTTAGTGAGCCATTTTGCTTTATTACATTGTAATCTCAAGCCAAAAAATAATGAATCTTTGGCTCCATTGTAAATGATGGAAATAATTGTTTCATAACAATACTACAAAAAATTACTAAATTTATTCTTAGTAAATGAAACTTACATATTCAAAAACAACATTATTTTTTATTAAATTACAAATAAACTCAAAATTGATAAATGTTGGATATAGTTTCTATAAAGTAAACGATTAAGAACAATTTAAGTTGGCATGATGGATGAAATCTTTACAGGATATGGAGATAGTACGTACGTAACTAATGCTCATACAATTTATATTATTGATAGTTAAACCTATTGGAGTTATAGTATACATTTTGCTCCATCATTTTATTAAAATGTTAATACCGGGTCCGGGTTGATACCGGGTCCGGGCCGGGCCCGGTTCAATGTCTAATTATTTTTTTGCTTTCTTGATATCCCCCGACCCCCCCCTCACCCCCACCCCCAACCCCCCCCCCCCCCCCCAAAACACCCAGCCCTACCCTAGGAAAAGAAAAAAAAATGAAAAAACAAAAAAAAATGACCCGGGCCGGTTCGCCCAAAACTGGGACCGAGCCCGACCCGCCCAAAAGGGCTAAAAACCCGGAACCGGTCAACCGGTCCCGGTCCAGGCCCGCACAGTAGCGGGCCGGCCCGGTTCCGGGCTGGCCCGGTGTAGTCCATCCCTACCCCATTCTTGCAGCGGGGATGAGGTCTACTATTAACAGCCGTCAGCCGCCTACTTCCAGTTCCAGTGCAAAAGAAAGCATTATCCATACAATTTCAATTTCAGTTAGCAAAAAAACGGAGATGGAAATACGGAATATGTGACGAGGAAAAAATAAGTGCACAACAGAAAACGGTGGAAGGCGAAAGCAGTGTTGTTATTAACAAAGTACAGCCATCATGTTGAATAGCAAACGACATGCATAAAAAGCAATAAAGTAGCAGTTTAGCCAACTTATGACTGAAATGGAAAACGAAAACACTATATACAAATCAGTTGTCACAATACAATGCCATTAATAATGAGTCCATCATCAAATTCTGAAGCTCTTTAGGATGGGGTTGAAAGGCACAGTCCAGTGTAAACCCCTTTCTACTTGCAATGGTTCCCTTCCCCTTCTTGTCATCCCAAAAGCTCAGACTGGCTCAAAACAATACTAAGCACTGATGCTCTTCCTTCCCCCGTCCCTGAATGCCCGCAGAGGTTGAGCGGAAATGCGTGTCATTGCCTTCACCCCTAGTGGGTTGTTTTTACCCTGTATCGAACACAAAAACCAGCAACTACACTTAGGTAACCCACAAAATAAGCACTAATTTGAATCATACTAGGAATTCTATCCCACAACATCAATATTATAGGAGTAGCTGTCCAATATCTAGTAGCCTTTTGTTAGTATTTTATTATGAAATTACCACAAATATGAGTAAAACAGGTGTCATGTACACAAAGAGGAGTAACTCAGTTTGTGCTAACTATATAACTCAATCAGTACTACAAAAATAATGGAGGTGCATTATGTATGGAGTGGTTAATAATTCTTATTCAAAAGTGAATGAGTTCCTGCCTAAAAAAGACAAAAGATAAGTCTAATTTTAAGAAAACGTTTTATATTATAGTCCTATTTATGCAACTTTTTCCATAAAATGGTTGTTCTACTTTGGCTCACAAGAGGTGCATTGTTAAAATCAACCAATGATGAAACCTCTGCGACCATATTTACAATATCAGGACCAAATTGCTTTTTTGAATTCAATATGCTTATATATAGATTACATGACTTCATCTTAGAAGTTAAGATGATAGAAAAAATAATTACATGACTTCATGAACTTATTTACAGAGTATACATTTCATGTGATAGTTTAAAATTTATATTATTTCTACTTATATTACTATGAATGAATGTAATATCAGAAAACATGAGAGCTCTGATAAAAGAAAACACATACCGCTGTGCAGGAGCCAGACCTAACATGGCAGACGGGATAGTCATGAGGGCAGCAACTGTTGTGATCCTCACAGCACACAGCACTATTTAAAGGGCAGCATCCCCATGAGAAGCAGTAGTTCCCAAACGGGAAGACACAGCAGCAGGTGGTGCTAGACGGGCATGCATTGTATCGGTCACAAACACTGGGAGCTGCTGGGGATGGAGGGACTGGGGTGGGAGCGGGTGGTGTTGGAGGGCTTGGTGGAGGGTTTTGCCCAGTCTTTGTCGGATAAGAAGGCTCCACAGCTATACCACACAATCCAGCTTCTGCCTTCACATTTCGCTGCATCCTCACATACCCTTTCTCTCCCCAAGCATCTCCCCATGAATTCTTAACTATCCAATAATCGACACCATTTTCTGTACCGTACCCAACAACAGCCACACCATGATCCAAATCAGTTCCACATGATCCTGTGAATATACCCTGCAAATATTTTTTCTAGATTATGCATCTTGGCAGTTTAGAACAGTGCAAATGGCCTAATAAATACCAAAACCCAAAACTTACCGATTCATAGAGTTGGAAGTCCATCCCACCAGCTTCAATAGCAACAGCAATGGGCTGATTTGCCAGTGCCTTCTTCAAGGCCGCCTCATTGTTTACAGGAACATCCTCATACCCATCAATAGTAACAACCTTGGCATTGTTTTTCTGGCATGAAAATAAAAAATGATGTCAATAAAGAAACTTTCTGAGGATTACTTTTCAAGGAACTAATGGCATGATTGAAATGCATGAATGTATGTTTCATAGTTAATAGAAAACAGTTTTTCATTCCTACAGAGTATTATTTTCTGTGTACCAATCCAACCATAAGAATCCTCAATTTATGATCTTATAAACATAGACAGTAATTAGCAGGACAAAAGTAATGTTACTAACCCTGTAGGAGTCACATCTGCCATCCTTAGCGGTATAAGGGTAGTCCTTCTCAGTGTCAATGCCACCGTTCTTGATGATGAACTCAAAAGCATAGTCCATCAGTCCACCATTACAGCCTTCATTATAGCTCGTGTCACAGTCAACCAGTTCTTGCTCAGACAGGGAGACCAGACTGCCAGAAACAATCTTATTCACTCCCTCAACAGCTGCAATCGTTGAGAAGGCCCAGCAGCTCCCTGTTTCATTCTCAAGTTACGCTAGTGGTACATATACACTCTTAAAATAATTCTTACAAAAGAGGTATGTGATAGCATCATATTGTTTAACACATCACGTCACTTTTACATTGGAAGTGATTGCAATAGCCATATCATTTGTGTGTGTAAGTGTTTTTGTAAGTTTCTTTGTACTTATAGCATTTTCCTTCATTCTCAGCTAAATTAAATAAAAAGATATTTCCGTCTCCTCATTAAATTGTTATTATCATCAACTAATTATCATAAAATTAGGGTAATCAAGATCTACGATTGAAGCACTTGGGTAGAGGAACTGAGGGGATAATCTTGTCACCTTCCGCTTGTTTGGGTAAAAAACTATTTGAGTATAAAGACAATGGAATGAGACAATCTCTTTTATATGATACTACCTCCGTTCCCATTTTAACTTCCAAATGGGTTTTGCACAAAGTTTAAGAGAGAGAAATGTGTAAGAAAGAGAAATGTGTAAGAAATGTTGTGAACCACAAATAGGGAAAGTGGAAGTTTTAATTGGAACGGACGAAAAAGGAAAGTTTGGAAGTTTATTTAGGAACGGAGGGAGTATCATTTTACCAATCTCCACAAATTGGAAGATTTTACGTTTGGTTTTAGATCAAATTACTCTTGTAAGAAAACTAATTAATAATAATTTCATTATCCAAATGCACTAGGCGTTGTTAACTGGTTGAAATTTACCCAGACAGAAAAGCACGAGCCACAAATTTGTTTCTTTAAGATGGTAATAATTTGGGGACAAATGGAAAGAAAACCATGTAGATAAATATAGGAATAGAAGGAGTAATATAATATTTTAGGGAAAAGTAATCAAAATACCCAAACTTTGAAGAGTGCGAGCTAAACCCCCAAACTTTCATATGTAATTTAAAAACCCCAAACTTTATATAAAAAATTATTTTAGCACAAAATATATTATTTTTTTCATGTAGATAAATATAGGAATAGAAGGAGTAATATATTATTTTTTTCAAAAAAGCGAATTTATAGTGTTAATTGCATAATATAAAATAGCAAATTAAAAATTCTGCAATTATATAGGGTGAGGGTAGTATTATTTATTTTACAAAGGAAGTTTAGGATGTTAATTGTATCTTCAAGAATGCTAAAATATTTTAAATTATGAAATTAACACAAAATATTGACATTTTCGAAAGAAATAATACATGACATAATGCTAAAATAACTTTTTGTATAAAGTTTGAGGTAATTAAATTACACGTGCAAGTTTGAGATGCATACCTCATAACCCTTCAAAGTTTGAAATCCATACCTCAAAATCCTTCAAATTTGGGGTATTTTAATTATTTTTCCAATATTATATGAGGTTGGTTTGTTGGATGATCTATTTAAATCTGTTAGTCCAATTTGATTTGCTTTGATCTTTTATATTACTCAAAGAGATTGATCTATTTCTATGGTTATTACTATAATTCAAATACGGAGTCTATTGTTATTATTATCATAAATAATATCTTGAGGGTAGACGTGATGTCATATTTCAACAAAATTTGCAGAGTATATAGTACTACCTATATAACTTGTTTTTTTTTTGTTTTTTTACTCCAGTGGGTTGAGGGAGGGGCCTGAAGTAATAAGGCCTGGAATAATAAGGTTTGAAACCGGTGTCTAGCGTATTTCGAACTCGGGGGTGGGCTGACGGAATGATTGTTTAAACGTATATAACTTGTTATTTCTCTCCACCATTCACAAAGTAACACGAAAAGCGGAACAAAAACACTTCAAAAAAAACTTTTTTGCCCACCCGTCTACCCAATCCGGGAACACACACGGGGTAAAAGCGGATCCGGGAGCAAATACGAGCATATTAGAAAGGGTAAAAAAGGCATACGACAAAAAGCAAAGGAGCGTAACCTACCGCAGCTTCCTTGATTCTTGATCTCTGAGACAGCACCTTTCTCCCTCCAGTCAACAGAGTCCGGCAACGATTCGCCTTCCACCGGAGCATACCGGTTGCTCTTGCTCTTCAGCGTCTTCCGGCGAGCATCCCTTTTGGTACCGAGGTACCCGGTGCGATACTCCTCGTTTGTCATATCAGCGAACCAGTTCAACCCTAGCTTGTAGCTCCGGCTCTCAAGACTGTTCTGGTCGTCGATGTACTTGAGGTTATCCTTGAAGATCTCTAACCTCTTTTCTTTTTCTCCGACAGCGTTGTACGCCTTGCCGTGTTTCACTAGCCACGATTCGAACAGCTCCTTGATCTCCTCCTCAGATCGGATCAAACCTTTCACCGGATGCTGCTCGTCGTATGATATGATCGACATCTCCGCCGCTGCAGAACATACGACGGCGAGCATTAACAGAACGAGAACCAAAGGCTTGGCCATTGTCAGGAAGAAGACAGTGTTAGGGGATGTCGATGGGGGAAGGAAGTGGAGATGGGAGAAGGAAGAAGGGAAAGTGCATTTTAAAGGTAAATATAAGGACACAATCGTCAATGCATCTAGTCATACAAGTTGGGACATAAAATACGGAGTATAGACTAAGAAATTAACGGCATCAATTTAGATGCAGGAAGATTGGGTTCTAAAAACGAAAGATATACTAATGTAATACTGCAATCCACATGATGTAAATATGTTTGTGTTTGTATGTAGTTTTAATTTTTTATTTCACGCGTTGGGTTATGTAATACTAGTAATAGTTATTTTTCTAGTTGTATTGACTGAAGTTATTTTTCATATAACTTTTTATCGTAGAAGATCATTTTAGCTATTTTCATATAACTTTTTTTTTATTTTAGCGATAAAAAAAAATTATTTATTTTTTAATAAATCAGTGGAATCAACCAATTTAGTCTTTCAACTAGAATTTTATAAATTTTAGCAGAATCAATCAATTCAGCTCATTTGAGTGTTACCAAACCGGCTCAATATGTTAAGTTTAGTTTGGGACAACATGAAGTGTGATAATGTTTACCCTCAAGTGTAGAGTGACTGCATTGCAACCTAAACTTTAGTTTCATGCTTCTCGAGGTCTGAAATGTATGAGTCTGCGAACAAAATTACAACATGCGAGTGAGGTGGCGTTGCCTATTGGATTTCGAGAAGATAAATGCAATGGAAAAAATGGAAAAAATCTTTGTTTGAAAACAATCGAACATATTTGAAGTTCTTACTATAAACGAAATTACAAGAAATTGAGGGATTTACTTTACAAACTCAAAGCATTGATGTCAGACAGACCGAGCCCAATATCATTTATAAGAGAAAAGGAGTTTTATATTTTATAAAAAACCTCCTGTAAGCCCTAACCCAATATCATTTTATATCCTATTCTGAATCAGGCTAATCATGTTATTTTAATGTTATAAACAAACATTAATGACTCATATCACTAAGATGTGTGACCTTGTAGATTTATATAACGTTGACAGTGAGCTCGAAAATTATTTCGAGCTTCATAAATCATAAGCGATATGTAGCAAGGCATTATGACTACCCAAGATATATAATTGTCCATTAAATCTGATATAAGTTTTTAATGATTAATTTGTGCTAATAATTCCGTTTTGTCAAATGATATCTTAAGTGAGGCAAGATTATGTCGTGTCATCCTTGTTAATCTCAATTGATATTTCTTGATTACCAAGTAAGATTAATCTTGAACAGATGACATTTCATTGAGCATGACCTTGCTAATTAATTTTACTTGTCAAGAGATTCAATAGATATATTTCTCTCGTTATATGAAATTGACAAAAACTATCTTGATTATTCACATGCAACAACATGGTTGAACAATCACCAGCTCTATATTTACTCGCTCAAAGATAACATTATATTTAATGGTGTTAACACATATTAATTCTCATGTTGATAACTATGATCATCTCATGTATAAGAATATATCGCATCATCATTATTGAGGACAACATTGATGACATATAATCTGACAGTGTCCTCATGTTGGGTTTGTCCAATAAACTTGGTCACTAACAAGAATCTATGTTTTTAGTTTGATATCTCTATACTCATGACTAGTGGAATATAGTCATCCATTAATCCATATATTGGTCTATTAGTTGTTAATGTCTCAAATTAATAATGTTATGCTTATTATAAAGTGTAGCATTTCACAATTAAGACACATACTTAATTACCTAGTAAGCATATTATTTAAGGACTAAACATTAATATATAAAACTTGGAGTAACAATCGCCATAAATTGAGTTCGTCACTTTATAATAAAGAGCATTAAATATTCATAGATAAATCATAAACTATGACCGTTCTATAGCATATTTTCAACATTGTCCATGTTTGGCTAGCGGCGGGGGTTGAGATCATAGCCCCATAGGTCTATAGGTGTACAAACTACAAAGAATAAGAGAAGAGAGAGACAACTTGGAAAATAATGTGTGTGGAGAAAATATGCAGAGAAAACTGTTAAATAAGTCCTAGAAAGAAACCGGCGATGGAGAAATGCCTTAGAAAGAAAGATCTGCTGGGAGGGCTTCTGTTGGGCCGGTATGAGATCAGGAAACTCCTCAGCCACAGAAGCTTCGTGAAGGTGTACCAAGCCAGGAACGCCAAAACCGATGAGAGCGTAGCAATAAAGGTAATTGACAAGGAGAAGATTCTCAAAGTCGTCCTCATTTCCCACATCAAGCGGGAGATCTCGATCCTCCAACGGGTCCGCCACCCCAACATTGTCTAGCTCTACGAGGTTATGGCCACCAAGACCAAAATTTTCTTTGTCATGGAATTCGTCAAGGGCGACGAGCTCTTCAACAAGGTCACCAATGGCAGGCTCAAACAAGACTCTGCTCGCAAATATTTCCAGCATCTGATCTCCATCGTCGCATTTTGTCACGGGCGTGGCTTTTACCACCACGATTTGAAGCCGGAAAACATTCTGATCAACGATGGCGGCAATGTGAAGGTTTCCGATTTCAGGATGAGCACCATCTCGGAGCAAATTAAGTAGGACGGGTTGTGTCACATGTTTTGTGGCACACCAGCTTACGTAGCTCCGGAGCTCCTTGCCCGAAAAGGGTACGACACTACTAAGGTAGATATATGGTTTTGTGGGGTAATTTTATTTGTTCTTTTAGTAGGTTATTTACCATTGCATGATTAGAACGTCATGGCTATGTATAAAAAGATTTACGAGGGTGAATTTAGGTGTCTGAGATGGTTCTCTAATGAACTGGTCCGACTCTTGACCCGGTTACTTGACACTAATCCAGCAACAAGAATGAAAAATCCGAAGATAATGAATAATAAGTGGTTCAAGAAAGGGTTTAAGCACGTTCAGTTCTACATAGAGGATGATAAGTTATGCAGTGTTGTTGATGAAGTGGAGACAACTGATTTAATTGATTCTTTATCCGATTTATCTGAATCTGAGACTGAGACTGAGAGTAGGAAAAGGTTAAGCAGTTTACCCAAACCTACAAGTTTGAATGCATTTGACATTATTACATTTTCTCGCGATTTTGATCTATCTCGGTTGTTGGAGGAGGGGATCAGATGATGGGAGGTTAATATTAGGGGCACCTGTGTACGTGATTGTGAATAAGTTGGAAGAGATTACAAAGGTGGTGAGTTTCAAGGTAAGGAAGAAAGACTTTAGGGTGAGTTTAGAAGGGTCTAAGGAGGGTGCAAAAGGACCATTGACAATAGCTGCTGACATATTTGAATTGATGGCGTCTTTAAGAGTTGTGGAAGTGAGGGAAAAGGGAGGAGATAGAGGTGTGTATGAGGAGTTTTATAGTTGGGAACTAAAACTAGGTTTATAGAGCTTAGTTACCGAAGAAGCTGCAACTAATTTTTCACATTTGCCTCCAAATACAGATTAAAGGGAGAAAGAATGACCAAAGTTGTCCATTTGATGGATGTTTCAGGATGGAAACATAACTCAAAAGCTTGAATGTCATCATCAAGGACAAACACAAAACCATCACACGAATCATACTCATAAGAGCCTAAACCTAATATATGGATCTCATCATGTCTATCTCGGGTTTAATACTTTAATTTATTTCCCAGTTTGAGTACCCATTGAAGAAATGATATTGCTATCTATTTCAAGGAAATATAGATACTTCATCTGTCCCATTGGACTTTGCCAACTTTTCCCTTTTGGTTGTCCCAAAAAACTTTGCAACTTTCCTATTAAAGCAACTAATTTGCAGTTCTGCACATTTGTCTCTCATTTGCACAAATCTCAACTACCACACAGTTTTTACTATTCTTATTTCTCACCTACTTTGCACTTGGCAAAGTCCACCGGGATTGAGGTAGTATTAGATATGTACTACTCTCTGTATTAGTCGCTATTTGTGGCCAATTGACAGGGATTGGGAAAAAGGGAAAGTAATGCAGAAATCATATACTACTTCTTGAATGTCAATGGACAGTTGTTCAAAAAAAAAACGGTTAAATAAGCCCTCGTAGTATAGCGACTTCAGCACCTCACACTAAACAAACAATCAATTGAGAACACCAACTACAAATTAAAGAAACACTAAACCCTTCTTTTTATGGTTACCGTCCAGTCAGTGGCGGAACTACAGTGGGGCTTGGAGGGGCTCGTGCCCGTGCTGCGCCGGAAACTTTAAGCTACATATGTGTGTTTCTTCTTCATGCTTGTAGATCTACGTCTTCTTCTGTTCCGCCTTAGGACTTCGGATCTCTGTGCATCTGTTACAGAGTATGTCTTCTGGGTGATGAGCTGTATTCCTTTTAATTTAACCAAAGCTTCAAACGACGTCGTTTGGTTTAATGATACTAAAATAATAAAAAATGACGCCGTGCCTACGATTATAATTGGGCTGCTAAGCCTTTTAAGAGCTAAATTTGAGAAAATTAAACGGAAGAATGACTGAAAGCCTAAAACAAGCAGACCGCACCAATCTAAGAACTTAAGAGAGTCAAAACTCAGTCATCAAAATCGAAGAATGGCTTCGGATTGTTCATTTGTTGACTACTTGAATTCCTGAGCTTGGTTAATTGTTGTGCAACTTGTGTGGCTGAATTTTAGTGGATACGAGATTTAAAGAGTGTAGATTAAATTTTACTCCATGTTTAATTAACTTAATTTCCTGTAGGTATTATTATGTTTTAGCAATAAAGCTCGGGCAGTCTCATGATACTCAATTTAGTTAATTTCTTTAATTATTTTAATATTATGTGAATAATGTTTAACTAGTTTATTATTTTTTGACTAGTTTAAATAATACTAGAGTATATGTAATTAAAACGACTATTATTTACAAACATATGTGTCATATGTGAATTTTGCACTATAATTTTATAATTTAAAACTTATGAAATATTTTTTAATTCAAGTGGGACATAGTTGGCTCAAGTGGTTTATCTTCTAATAATTAATAGCCTTATGCAATTTGAGATACTATTATTATGTATTTCTCATATTTGTATTACAATTTTAATATTT